ACACGCCTGCTAAATCCCCGTATCTCTGACACCCCTCCGTGACCATCGAGGCTTGTCCTCGTCGGGCACAATCTTGGAAGACGGGGGAATCGGAGACAAAAAAGTGGCGGACCTTTGTCCGGACCCCAAAACAGTGCGGGGGCTAAGCTTCATTAGACAGATGAGAAAACAAATGATGTAATGAACTCCGCTGCCCTTCAAGAGGGAAAATCTCCAAACATCGGCAGAGCGGTGCCTAAACAGGCGTGCGAATATGGAACTATAAAACCACAAGGCATAATCGATATGGATGCAAACCAAACGGCACGAGGGAGAGGAGGCAGAGGAGGAGAAGGAGGGAAACGAAAATCGGAGGACTACCCCTCCGCATCGCCAGGCCGGGCCTTGCGGGCTCGGCGCGCCTCGCCTGCCGCTGCCTTAGCAGCGAGCATCTCCTTCGTCTGCGCTAAACACCAGCGGCCCTCAGACAGCCGCTCTAGCAAGAAACTCCTCTCAGCCTCGGCCTTCGTCAAAGAGTCCGCGATCATCAGCTTCGTGTCGATCCACCTGACACGTATCCTCCAGTCATCTCCCTCTCGCTCCTGCCTCAGCACGTCATGGCCGAGTAGCTGGCGGATCTGAGCCATCAGGATCCGCACTCGCTTGTCAGCGGGCTGACCACCATCCTTCTCCAAAGAGGTGACGAGGCCGTTCGCGTCCGTCAGCAGCAGCAGACGCTTGCCGTCGAAGAACGAGACGAACTGGTAGGATGAGTAGCCGGGGTCAAAGATCTCGGCGATCACGTGCTTGAGGAACTCCGCACTCTCGGCCGATGTCAAGAAACCGTGGCATTCAGCTGCTAGCGATCCACGAACCACTCGCTTGATCGTCGCGCTAGCCCATTCCAGTGGATGCATGATCGCGGTGGCGTCCGTCTCGAGGTCGGGCGACGCCATGCCGATGATATAGCCGCACTGGGATTTGACCTTCTCTCCTAGCGTAAGGTCGTCAATGTTGCCATGGCTGCTGTCCCCGCAGCCGAACACGATGGCGCTGTCCCAGTCCAGGCGGGATGAAAACATCAGCTTGATGGCATGATTCACTGCAACAATGTCACGGATCTTGGGGCCACTCATGGCCTGAGCCCCAAGTGAAGCGTGGACGGCCAGGTCGGGGCGCGTCTGCCGTGCTACCCAGCCAAGCGACCCAACGCCGCTACGGAGGGCAGAGATCTCCTCCGGGGCGAGTGGCGCATTGGGCTTGCGCTGGCGGTGCGGCTCGAGGGCGATGTACTCCAGCGCCTCGACCGTGGCGGCCTGTCCGATCTTGATGTCGAAAGTCTGGTTGTTCTGCTCCACGACCTTGCCACAGTACCTGGACGTGTCGGACTGGAAGGAAAGGCGAATCTTGTCCTTGATGATCTCCATCACGCGCTCGAACTGCTCGCCCGCGCCCGCGGCGAAGAGGTCGTCGACGTGCGTGCACAGCAAGCCGTTGAGCTTGCCCTTGCTGCCCCTGAGCATGAACAGACAGGGCTCGTAGATGGACTCGCGCCAACCCTGCTCCACGAGGATGGCGCGCAGATGCAGCCACCGCTGCCTGCCCGCGTCCTTGGTGCCGTAGATTGCGCCGCGGGCGCGCATGTAGGACCCCTCTGGAACTCCAGGTGGTGGAGGACGAGGGGCTCGAAGAAGCAGGATGCGCTCAATGCCCTTGGACTGCAGGTAGGCCGTCGCAGCGTCAGCTGCCCTTATCTGCCACCGGTGGGAGGCAGCGTAGCTGGCGACCAGGTGGAAAGCCAAAAGCAGTAGGAGCGTCGCCTCGGATATCATCTCCTCGTTCCTGGCAGCCCTGCACGACGAGCCGACTCTTGGCAGCGAGCGGGATGTCGTCGTAGGTCTGCTTGAGGTTGCGCTTCTTAGCGTTCTTGTCCGTGTGGGCCCAGCGCGTCCCAACTGGGGAGGCACCCCTGTCGAGGAGCTCCTTGGCCTGGCTAAAGCTCAGCACCTCGACGGCCTGGAACTCAGTCCAGCTGCGCCACTCCTTGGTCATAGCCTGATCGAACTCCTTCCTCTGCTCTGGGGCGAGGTCTTGAAGTCTGATCTCGGAGCGGACCGCGCCCTTGGTGAGATAGGCGAACTCGACTGTGTTGTTCGTGCCCGCGTCCTCGTCGGTGTGAACGAAGATGGTCTCGACCGCGGTGGTGCCACCAGGCAGAGGCCGACGAAGGCGAGCATCGCGAAGAGCAAGACCTCTGACGTCGATGTCATCGATCACGATGCCTGTCTTGATGTCTCTGGTGATGCGGCGAAGCACCTTGGACCAGCGAGGGCCACGCTTGTCCGTAGTGATGAACTTCTTGATGCCGTAGTCGGTGCAACGCCACTCGTAGGCGACAGCCAGGTCCGGCTTGTAGTCGCTGGTGATGAACACTTCGTGGAGGGCATCCTCCATGACGCTGAACTCCTCCTCCACGTAGCCCTGGAAGGTACGAGGCTTCTTGATGAAACCCCGATCCAGATGCTCCGGATCGCGCATGGCTCTGTCCAGCTGGGTAAGCGACAGGCCTCTGCGCTTCTCCCCGCGCTCCAGGCCCACGCCCATCTCGTCGCCCGGCACCGGCTTGTCGACAGCCTCGTCATCCGGGGGCACCGGCTTGTCGATAGCCTCCTGGGATACTCGAGGATCGATCCGATGACCTTGAACTTCGGAATGAATGCTGGGCTCGCCTGGGCCGTACGAGCGCGGCGGCCCCTCTGCCTCTGGTAGCCCCGGGCGTGGTGGCTCAGGGACCACAGGAGGTGGCTGATGCTGAGCTGGCGGTGGTAGTAGTGCGTCGTCGGTCTCCTGAATGAGTGGAGATGCTTGTTGTGGTACTTCGTGTGCCGGCGGTGGAGGATCGACCCGCTGCTGTGGTAGATGGTCCTCGGTGTTGAACTCGTCGAAATCGAAATTTACGTCAGGTCCTGGTCCGGCAGATCCGAGCGCGCCCCCAACCACCCCTCCGTGACCAGCCGCGTGCTGTTGCGGCCTGGGCATCGGGGCGGGCGAGGCTGCTGCTGTATCGGCCCGGATGTCGATGTAGTGCCTGGCCCCCTTCAGTGACCGAAGGGACAACAGGTCTGGGTTCACGTAGGTGTGCATGGCGAGCAGCTCGTCCTCGGAGGCGAACCTGAGCGACTCAGGAGCTGCGAGCACGGTGGTGTGTCCGTAGCGCAGCCGCACTGCATGGGCCAGGGTGCCGACGGGCTCGTCCGTGTCGCGAGAGAGGTGACGTGGGTCGCACACCTCATGCCCGATAACCCGGGCTGGCCCAAACCAGCTGTGCGTGACCTCGGGGCTCTCTCCGACTCGGGTCTGCGACCGGCGGAAGTACACGATGGCCCCAATGTTGAAAGGGCCTCGGCTAGGCCGCGCCTTGCGCAAGATGGCGCGCTTGACGCGGTCGTCGGAGTCGAGGCGGACGTGCGCGATGCGGGCCGCCTCGCGCAGGGCCATGGTGCGGGCCATGGCAGACTGGGGGTCGAGCGACGCCTCGATGACCTCCAACCGCTGCGCCTCGTCGTCTTGTAGGAGGCTTCCTGGGATGCGGGGCCCATGAGACCCCAAGACCCACTGCGAAGGGGAGAACCCCCCGCGTCGGCCCAGCTCGTTCTTGACCTGGGTCACGATGGAGGCAGTCTCCTCGACGTCGTCCAGTCCTGTGACCTGCGAGTCGGCGACAGTACGTCGCCAGATCTCCTTCCAAATGCCCCCGTGGCGCTCGCACTTGCCGATGAGGTGCGGCGTCTCCAACGGGGCCAGGTCGACCTGCACGCCATGCGCCTTCGCGTTGGAGGCGAAATCCTTCATCCACTCCTTGCCCAGATCCACCGTGAGCTTCTCTGGGTAGCCAGCCCACGGGGTCCAGCTGGTAGTGAACGCCTTGGTAGTGGCACGTGCTGTCGGTGATCCACGAGCCGGGCCCATGCAGCACACGACTTGAAAGTTCGTCCCCTCGCAGATACAGTTCACAAAGAAGTAGGGGGTCCCGGCGGCGTCGTAGGCGTGGAAGGTGTCCAGCTGGATGGCGTAGTTGAACACGTACTGACCTGGCAACCGCGAAGGTCGTGGGGCGCGCCGACGGACGGCGTCGCCACAGGCGTCGCAGGAAAAGAACTCCACGTATTTCAGCACCTCCGGCTTGACTCCTCGGCGCCTCAGCAGCCTGGTCAGCGTCACGTTCGAACAGTGATGGAAGTTGACGTGGAGCTGGCGGATGGCCTTCCTGACCTCTGGCGGGGCCTCCAGCCATCGCCTGCGCCGCTCGGCCTCCTTGGTGTTGGTGATGGGGCCGAGCTGAGCGGCCTCTCGGGCTCGCTCGCCGTCGGGATCGACGGCTGGCGGAGGTGGCGGCTCCCCCGCAGCTTCTTGATCAGCTGGAGGAGGAGCAGGCTCAGGCACGTTCGGGTCAGGCGGTGGCGCTGGCTGCGCCATGGCTGCCCAGTACGGGTGCCCCCGCAGCCTGGTCCGTCGTCGTAGTCGAACTGGCCCACGAAGGTCTGGACCGTCCTCTGCAGGGAACTGCCAGTCGGTGTCCGTGGCGTTGTCGACGATGGCCTGCTGTACGATGCTGCGGGCGACGATGTGGTTGAGCTCCTCCGGCCACTCGGCCGCTTGCAGAGTGCGCGGCCCGAACTTGTTGCGGCCCTTTTAGCTGCTCGTGCTGGGTGCAGCTACACTTCTTCTCGGAAAGGGCCTCGATCAGCGTGTCCATAGTGGTAATGATCATCATGGGCTTGCGGTGAGCCAAGCCCGACTCAGCATCGCGGTACCCAACCTGGCAGCCGTCGAAGGTGACCTTCTTCAGGATGCCCTTGTCCAGGAGAGAACGAATCCTTGACATCTCCGGCTGGTCGAAGGCCTCAGAGCCCTGGGGGTGCTCCAGCGCCACGTGGAAGCCCCTCCGCACTCGGCTGTCCACTGAGGAGTCCACCTGCCTGAGAATGGGGCGGTTCGCCTAGCGCTTGGCCAAGATCTTCCTCTCGGTCTCCGGGCAACGGGCCATGTTGAATCTGCTCCAGTTGCCCCACGGCGAGCAGGGGTGCGAGACCACCAGGCAGTACGGCTCCATGTTGGTGATCTCCGCGTCGTACCTCTGCCTGCCCAGCCTTGTGGTAGCGTCCCAGCCCGTGTGCTTGTCCAGTGGGACGCCGACCGAGAGGCCCATCGCGGCCATGAGCACTGTCAAACCCATCTGGCCAGCGTAGGTCTGCTTGACCCATGTCCTGGCACCTGCAGGCAGCCGGGCCCTGGGCGGATGCTTCTCCACGACGGCCTGCGCCACCTCATCGTGCACGGCAATGGCCTGCAGGGAATGCTCGAGCTTCTTGGACTTCTTGTTGGTGAGGTTGCGCTTGCCGCCCCACTCAATCGCCTCGGCGGCAAAGACGTCCGGTCCGTAGTCGTGGTCGACGACCGTCTGGAGGCACTCGTCGTCCGTAGTCTCGCCGATCTCGATGTCCAGGAAGCTGGGGAGAGGCTCAACTGAGCTCTCCTCGACGTAGGTGATGCCGACGTGGAACTTCTCGGGGAAGTACTCGAGGTGGTGATCCTCGGGCATCGTCAGCGCCGCCCAATCGGCCGTCTCGTAGCTCTCGTTCGGCAGGTCAAGGAGGTTGACCGCCGGGTGGCCCACCTTAGTGTGGTGGAGCTTCAGGTTGTAGACGCCGATGTTGACAAAGTCGGCGACATCGCCCTCTGTGGAAAGCCGCATGCTCAGCCCGAGCTTGGTGAGCATGTCCCTGCTGAGCAGCATCGGGCAGTCGCCCGGCACCTCACACGACAGAATCTCGCCACACTTTCCTCCAATGCCCACGGGACAACGGACCGCCGTGGTGCTGCTCGTGCGGCCGCCGACCCCTCTGAATGTACGAGAGGTCGGGGTCCCCACTACCTGTAGACCGCGCCTCGCGAGCTTACGCTCGAAGACTGCCCGCCACGACTCGCCGTGCATGGTACGCGTGCACCCAGCGTCGATGATGGCGAGCATGGCGTCGGCGTCGTTGTCGTGCGCCGAGAAGGCGTTGCCGGTAATGGCGGCCATGACCGAGCACTCGCAGGTAGAGATGACGTCCGGCTGGCGGATGTTGGGCTGAATCGGGATGGTGAAGCCACCGGCGTTGACCTCCATCCAATCGTTGTCGGCGGGGAGCCTCCTCTTGTCGCCGTCGATCATCTGCTGCGGGGCAACGTTGAACTTGCCACGCGCGATCTTCACAATGGCGTAGAGGAAATACGCGTAGCGGTACAAGTGGAGGTTGATCTCCTCCGCCTCGGGGCCCAAGACCTGGTCCAGAGCCCACTTGTTGTACCAGATGAGTGCCGGGTCGGACGCCGCATCCTGGAAGGTTCGCCCCTTGTGCGTGCCGAAGTTGATGACCTCCGCTGGGTACGGGACCGGGTTGAGCTGGTCGACGCCGTCGAGATCCGGGAACTCCACCAGCTCGATGCTCTGGTGGAGCGGGATGCCGTGCAGGAAGGCCAGCTCCGGCCCCGGCTTCGGCTCGGGGTCGCCTTGGGTCAAGTCGACCTTGATGATGCGCTTCTCGGGTGTAGGTGGTGCGGCTGGTGCTGATCCAGTAGCACTCGGCCTCTCAGAACTGGCCGCGGATGCGGCCGCTGGTGTAGGTGCACGTGGTCCATCGCCTCTTGCAGGCAGCCGGCCGAATAGCCGCTGCTTGCCGGAAAGGCGTCGCGCTGCGGGCGCCGCCGTCCGCCTCCGATACGTAGATGGGAGGCGACCCTGGACCATCAGGGCGTCGGCCACCAGGGCAATCCGCCTCGCGAACTCCTTGCGGGACAGGAAGCGGCCCCACTTGGTGCCCATCAGAGCCTTCATGAAGTAGCTCCACAGCTCAAACCCTTTGTTGCGGTGGGCGAGCGTGAAGTGGCGGTCGCACTCCCTGCATGTGATGTACCTGGTGGTCTTGTTGGCGCCGCGGACGACCTTCTCGCAGGCGTCGTCGGCCACGTGCCCGCAGACGTGCTCCATCTCGCCCTTCAGAACCATGGAGACCTCGGACGGCTCGCTGTCATCGTCGTTGTCACCGTGCTCCTCGAGCGTGAAGTAGTTCTGAGCGGGCTTCTTAGCTGGAGACACTGACGTAGGCTTCCGGCTCGACCGACGGGGGCAAACGTCATCGCCCTGCCAATGCCCGAACTGGTGACAGTCGGAGCACTGGGTCCGCTTCTTCAAGTTGGCGATGCGCTGCCGGCGAGCATCTCGCTGTCGGTCGTCGTAGCCAGGGACAGCACCACTCGAACTGCTGCTGCCTCCTCGCCCTGCGGGCGACCTGGTTGGCAATCCCTTGCCGCCTCCCCGGCGGCCCCCCCTTCCACCGGCCTTGCCGCGACCGTGGAAGCTCGAAGTCACTCGCCTAGGCGGCTTCTTCTTGTTGAAGATCTTGTTGCGGCTCTGCAGAACGAGGGCGAGGGCCTCTGCCTCCTCGGTGCCAAGCTCGTCGAGGTTCTCCGCGACGTAGTTCTCGATGTCGAACTCGTCGTCCTCGCCGTGCTCGTAGTCGTCCTCCTCGCCCTGGTAGTAGCCGTCCTCGTCCTCGTCCTCGTAATAGATGTGGTCGAGCTCCGACGGGTTCTCGTCCTGGTCCGACGCGGCGCAAGCGTAGGCGGATCGCTCTCGGCGATCAGCGCGTCGGTCCTGCTGTCGATGTACCGCTGGGCACTGAGCCCGCAGAGCATACTCGATGCCAGCTAGCTTGTACTCGTTCTTGTTGGAGGATCAGTGCGGCCTGGATATCCTCTGAGATCGTAGTCGTGGCGCTGACCTCCTGCAACTCTGCCTCCTTGTCACATAGTTGGCCATGGACTCGTTGCGGTCACGCCAGACCGAGGAGCCGTACAAGGCTTTGTCGAAGATCTCAGTACTCCGGACGGGCGCAATATCTTGAACTTCTTTCTTCAGCGTCGTGAGGAAAAGAGTGAGCCCGTCCGGCCTTGATTCGCCAGACTCGTCAGTAGCTATCAGCTCTTCATGTTTGAGCTTGCGCACTGCCTCGTAGGCTGGACCAGAAAGGCCTGAGCGTAGATGCAGCGCCGTCGCGGCCTGCTTGGACCTTTCGCCCGTCCTGCCGTGGTAGAGATCCCAGGCTCGCTCTTCGTATTCATTGAAATACTCTGGCTGGCCTGCATACTGAGGGACTCCATTCCTGTCCAGCTCGATGGACATCTTCGTGAAGATAGGAATGATCAGCAGCAGCAGCGTCGTTGCACAGGATGGTGCCCTCGGCCGGCTCGGCGGAGGGCTCGTCGTCGTGGGCTGACACGACTGCCGCGGTGGTGACCGCGGCGGCGGAGAGGAGGTGCGGCGACCTCTGGCGGCGGCAGCGGCCGTCGCCTGCCGCGGGGCGCCCGGGCGCGGCGGCCCAGCCCAGCGGCCTATGATGCGCAGGTCCCGGAGCTGTCACGCTCCGCTTACCATGAGAGTCCGTCCAGGCGGGCGGGGATCGATGATAAGGATGCTTTAATACCCTTGATCCTAAAAGGCCGCCCTGTGTACGCGTGCGCTGCTGTAGAAATCAAGATAAGCACAGATACTACACACACGCCTGCTAAATCCCCGTATCTCTGACACTTCCCGTTCTTCTTCTCCCTCTTTGCCCGTGCACGCCCACGTCCAAAGCTACGGGCGCGGCGCCGCACGGAGTCCCTGCGACGCGCGCTGGTTGCCCCGAAAGGGTCCCGGCGACGCGCGCGGGTCGTCCGCTGCGCGGAGCAGAGAGAGCGAGCAGGCCGGCTCCCGCCCAGGACGCGCGGCCCGAAGGCGGCCTCAATACGTCGAATACGACGAAAAACCACCGGAACTCGAAAGTCGCCGCCATGCAAACTCCGCCCCGCCACGGAGACCGTAGGTGGAGCTCCCTATGGGGACACGAAACGCTGTACTGGGTGGTGGATGACGCACGCGGGCGGTCCCACTGGGGTCTTCGGTGGAGCCCCATGGGGCCACGAAACGTTGTACTGGGTGGTGGATGACGCATGCGGGCGGTCCCACTGGGGAGCCCTCTATGGGGCCACAAACCGCTGTACTGGGTGGTGGGTGACGCATGCGAACGGTCCCACTGGAGCCTTCGGTGGAGCTCCCTATGGGGCCACGAAATGCTGCACTGGGTGGTGGATGACGCATGTGGGCGGTCCAACTGGGGCCTTCTGTGGAGCCCCCCATGGGGCCACGAAACGCTGTACTGGGTGGTGGATGATGCACGCAAGCGGTCCCATTGGGACCTTCGGTGGAGCTATGGGGCCACGAAACGCTGTACTGGGTGGTGGCTGACGCATGCGGGCGGTCCCACTGGGACCATCGATGGATCTCCCTATGGGGCCAAATGCTGTGTTGGGTGGTGGATGACGCACGCGGGCGGTCCCACTGGGGCCCTCGGTGGAGCCCCCCATGGGGCCACGAAACGCTGTACTGGGTGGTGGATGACGCATGCGGGCGGTCCCACTGGGGCCTTCGGTGGAACCCTCGTATGGGGCCACGAAATGAGGGAGGAGCGGGAGGAGGAGGAGGAGTAAGGAGGAGGAAGGAAGAAAATAAGGGAGGAGGAGAACGCGGGGAGCGTGTCTTCAAAACGAGGACCCAACACCACAGGATGGTTGGGAAAAACCTTGACGAGAGAAAACGTCGTAAGGAATCCTGAGTAAGGAATCTGAACTAAGGATCCTGTGCTAAGGAACATGGACTAAGGGATAGTGAGCAAAGAACACTTAATAAAGAAGGAATCAAAAATAAGAAATCATAAAAAATGTAAATATGTAAAAGTTTCCCTTATATATGGATATGCAATAAGGAATATGGCATGGGAAATCTTGATTGAAGCATCCTTAACCAGAACTGCTTAATAGGAAACATGTCCTCCATAATATGTCATGCGGAACCCTTCAAAACGAATCCTATTTAAGGAGTTAAAGAAGGATTCCGTCATAAAGAATAAAGATTCAAAACATTGATCAAATAATCCTTACCAAAAAATCTCGACTTAAGGATGGTTAGTACGGAACCCGATGTAAGAAATCTGTAACAGGGAGTCGCTAACGAATCCTTCATACGGTATCTCAACTCAGGAGCCCTTACTAAGAAAACTCGTATTAAGGAATCCTGACTAAAGTAAATGAAAGACGGAGTCCTTACTGAAGAGTCTTTACTAATGCACCTTTTCATACGGAACCTGAACGAAAGAATCCTTAATGGCCAGGCGTCCTCATCCTCGGTTCAAAAAAACGCTGTGTATGTGTGTTGCTCCCCACATCCTAAGTGGGGTTCTTGTTTTCTCTGGGCGGCCGCGGGACACACACCCACACACCCACACCCAGTCACACACACAAACACAAACACACACACACACACACACATCATGATCATCATCCTCTGGCAATCCATGCGAGCCCGCTCGCGCGGAAAGGAATTCCAACGGCTATCGGAATCAGCGAGCCCGCTCGAACGGAATGACCCTCAGGGGCATTCCATGCGAGCCCGCTCGCGCGGAAGGGACCTCCCCTGTGGCCCCTAGGGGTCCCACCTAAAAGTTGGAATTCCAACGGCTATCGGAATCAGCGAGCCCGCTCGAACGGAATGACCCTCAGGGGCATTCCATGCGAGCCCGCTCGCGCGGAAGGGACCTCCCCTGTGGCCCCTAGGGGGTCCCACCTAAAAGTTGGAATTCCAACGGCTATCGGAATCAGCGAGCCCGCTCGAACGGAATGACCCTCAGGGGCATTCCATGCGAGCCCGCTCGCGCGGAAGGGACCTCCCCTGTGGCCCCTAGGGGGTCCCACCTAAGAGTTGGAATTCCAACGGCTATCGGCATCAGCGAGCCCGCTCGAACGGAATGACCTTCATGGGCATTCCATGCGAGCCCGCTCGCGCGGAAGGGACCTCCCTTGTGGGCCCTAGGGGGTCCCACCTAAAAGTTGGAATTCCAATGGCTATCGGCACCAGCGAGCCCGCTCGCACGGAATGACCCTCAGGGGCATTCCATGCGAGCCCGCTCGCGCGAGGAGGGGAGGAGGAGGAGGAGGAAGGAGGGTGGGGTAAGGAGAGGGGGAGGGGAGGAGGATGAGGAGGAGGAGGAGAGGAGGAAGGGGGAGGGGATTTCAACCGCCGGCGCTTCAGGAGGTGATGGGTGAAATGGAGGTTTGTCGAGGAGGACGTGGAGGAGACGAGAGGAGCGGAAGAGGCGAGGAGGATGGAGGGGAAGCGGGGGGGAGGAGGATGGAGGGAGAAGGAGGGGAGGGAGGAGGAGGAGGTGGAGGAGGAGGAGGGGGAGGGAGGAGGGGGGCTGGGGAATGGAGTGGGAGGAAGTGGAGGCGGAGGAGGAGGCTAGGAGGAGGAGGAGGAGGAGGAGGGGAGGAGGGGAGGAGGGGGGGGACAAGGGGAGCAGGACGAGTGGGGAGGAGAGAGGGGGAGGGAGGAGGAGGAGGAGGTGGAGGAGGAACAGCAGCAGCAGCAGCGTCAGCAGGCGCAGCATCATTCTGATAGTGTACATATTCCATACAAAATTCCCCACATGTTTCGTGGGGTTATGGTTTTCTTCCCTGCCGCGTCGCACCCGCGTCTCACACCCGCACACACATCCCTTTCCCGCAAAAACGTGGCAACCGTGACATACATACATACATGCACAAGCACACCGACACAGACACATACACACAGACACACAGACACACAGACACACAGACACACACACACACACACACACACACACAGACACAGACACAGACACAGACACAGACACAGACACACACAGACACAGACACACATACACTCCCTCACCCACGCGCAACACCTGCACGGCACGTACATGAGACACGCGTAGCACACTTCACAACACAGCGCAGCGCAGCAAGACACAGCGCTGCTCAGCACAGCTCAGCTCAGCTCCGTCGCACGCTCGCAAAGCGCGGCAGGCGTGACAGCTCCTCGACACCAGGGGGGTGCGCAGGGGATGCGGTCTCTATCCGTCGCACGCTCGCAAAGCGCGGCAGGCGTGGCATTTCCTCGACACCAGGGGGGTGCGCAGGGGGTGCGGTCTCTATCCGTCGCACGCTCGCAGAGCGCGGCAAGGGTGGTAGTTCATCGACACGAGAGGGGCTGCGCAAAGGGTGCGGTCTCTATCCGTCGCACGCTCGCAAAACGCGGCGGGCGTGGCATTTCCTCCACACCAAGGGGGTGCGCAGGGGGTGCGGTCTCTATCCGTCGCACGCTCGCAAAGCGCGGCAGGCGTGGCATTTCCTCGACACCAGGGTGGTGCGCAGGGGGTGCGGCGCACGCTTGCAAAGCGCGGCAGGCGTGGCATTTCCTCGACACCAGGGGGGTGCGCAGGGGGTGCGGTCTCTATCCGTCGCACGCTCGCAAAGCGCGGCAGGCGTGGCATTTCCTCGACACCAGGGGGGGTGCGCAGGGGGTGCGGTCTTTATCCGTCGCACGCTCGCAGCGCGCGAGGGCGTGGCATCTCCTTGACACCAGGGGGATTGTGCGCAGGGGTGCGGTCTCTATCCGTCGCACGCTTGCAAAGCGAGGCAGGCGTGGCTTCTCCTCGACACCAGGGGGTGCGCAGGGGGTGGGGCCTTATGTCCGTTTCGCTCGCTCGCAAAGGCGCGGCAAGGCGTGCATTTTCCTCGACACCGGGGGGGTGCGCTGGGGGTGCGGTCTCTATCCGTCGCACGCTCGCAAAGCGCGGCAGGCGTGGCATTTCCTCGACACCAGGGGGTGCGCAGAGGGTGCTGTCTCTATCCGTCGCACGCTCGCAAAGCGCGGCAGGCGTTGCATTTCCTCGACACCAGGGGGGTGCGCAAAGGGTGCGGTCTCTATCCGGCGCACGCTCGCAAAGCGCGGCAGGCGTGGCATTTCCTCGACACCAGGGGGTGCGCGGGGGGTGCGGTCTCTATCCGTCGCACGCTCGCAAAGCGCGGCAGGCGTTGCATTTCCTCGAAACCAGGGGGGTGCGCAAGGGGTGCGGTCTCTGTCCGTCGCACGCTCGCAAATCGCGGCAGGCGTGGCAGTCGACACCAGGGGGGTGCGCAGAGAGCGTGGTCTCTATCCGTCGCACGCTCGCAAAGCGCGGCAGGCGTGGCATTGCCTCGACACAAGTGCGCAGGGGGTGCGGTCTCTATGCGTCGCACGCTCGCAAAGCGCGGCAGGCGTGGCATTTCCTCTGCACCAGGGGGGTG